TTCTACAAATAGACCCTGCTACATTGCAAGCCATCGTAACAATTTTCATGGCACAGTTCACACTAATGCAAACACAACCGAAATTGGAAACGATGTCAATAGTTCCAATCGCAGTGACAACCAAGGGAACCAATGAGTGTCTACCTACAAGGACACCCCAAACCACAAACCTAAGAACAAGAAACTGAAGTTTTAGAGTAAGAAGCGTTGTTCGACGCAAGGACCTACCAAATGAAAACAGACTGTGGCAGTCCCTACCACCATATGCTTGGAATCTCCCAATGTCCAACAAATAAAGCTTCCATCACCATGGAGTCTGCCGAGAAATGCACTACATAAATTGCAACAAGAAAGGGCAGATCACTCGTTTCTATAAGACTCCGGCCCAACACACTACTCAGGCCGCTAATGCCAGAACAAGTCAAGTATGCGATAAATGCGGTGGAACGGGGCATTTTAAGTGAGATTGTCCAACATAAAGTAACGATGGAGAAGAGGGAGGAGATTTAATAGTAGGACATGAGGAAGCAATGAAGGACCCTACTATGATTTCCGGTATGTTCCAACCTACATAACTTATATACATGCATACCTTACTATATCGATATAAAGAGGAGTTTTCGTGAGTGATCAATTTAAAAATATATTCAGACAAAAACCACAATCACACAATGAAACATTCATAATAGAAATGGCTAATAGTAAGACTGAAACCACAAAAATATCAAATTCTACGAAAAAGAATTTTCACCTAAACTTACCGACTAACAGGGCCCTCTTCACTTATGATGAACCAAACTGTCACACCACAAACCAAACGACGAAAATGTTCAGGGGCGGATGACTTCATATTAAGTATCAAAACAATTTCGTAATAGAAATCAAAGTATAAAAACCGTGTATTGATAAAATATAGGTTTTACATTCATGTTCAAAACCATTCTATACATGATAACAAAATGTATATCAAAAGTTAAAATGACATAAGTCTGTGAAGCTCCATATTTTTCAAAGCCTGTGGATGCCTACTTATTGTTTGACTGAGAATACAAGTGGTTTTGAAAAGAGTGTCAACAATTAAGTTTGTGAGTTCATAAGCATGTTTGTTATTTAAATCTGTCATTTGTTCCTTGAAAATGTAAGTATGTTTTTCCCAGAAAAGTCCATATTTTCTGTTGTATATGTTATGTAGTCTTAATACCCTAAGACCGAAATGTGTAGTTTTTACTATACTTTGAAATAGTATAGTGTAGTTTTAATTCGCATAAAACCATGAAATCTATGCTTTCTCTGTACTAGTATAGTATTCCGTGTTAGTACTTGTATGAAAACTCTGTAATTGTAAGTGCCTGAATTCACCAGCTGTACTATAAATATTATACTACAGTTTTATTTTCAAATAAAATTATGTGAAGTTGTTTAATTATTCATACACTAATCATCTTGTTCAATACAAATTGTGCGTTATCATAACCATACTTGATGACATCATAGTGCCTGAACACGACGTTCTTCAGGTGTCGTGATTAGTATGACATTTGCCACCCTAGGCCTACCGGCCTAATTATAGCGAACAATTAAGGTGTGAGATTGTCACTCCTGTATAGATATATACACAAGTATTACGCTCTCCCTCCAGGAGACTATGGTTATAATTTAACTACTGGGATTGCAGTATGTCTCTCAAAGCTATATCTACGCTTCGTGTAGAATAACGAAAACTCATTTTGAAATTAACAAATTGTATATATGTCTCATAAACTATACCTATCATAGTTTATATGTTTGTTTCTGTATTGTAACCTAAACTTGTAAAATAGTACGTTTGTTCCATAAACTATACCTATTATAGTTTATATGTTTGTTTCTATGAAAATGTCAATTGAAAACTATTTGAATAATAGTGATTTTTAAAACAAGATTTCTTTGTGTTTTACTTGTATTCCCCTCGAAGTTTAAAATGAATTTATACTTATATAAATATAATAATTATATAATTTTGATTAAACAGACAGTCGAATAAATAATTCTACCCTAAGCCCACAACCAAACAAGGAATAGGAATTCATAACTTTCGCATACGAGCTCCGTGCTCTGCAACTTTAGTTTAGACTCGATCAGTTGATTTTTGAATTTATTTTTAAAGTTATAATTTTCACAGGCCGGGATAGAAAAGTCTGTTAAAAATTCATAACTTTTTTATCCGACGTCCATCTTCATCTGTCTTTTTATATTTGAATTTTGATTGACAAGACCTCCGATTCTCGTTTAGGTTTTGTTGGCTAAGATTTCTCGATCTAAAATTTGAGTTTCGGGTTGCATACTGGTCTACCAAATCTTAGAATTTTCAAGACTTCGTCACACGAAGTCAGATATGGATGTTCTTTTTATTCACGCTCTCAGTTTTACGTATACAATTGTTGGTTTTTGAGCATTCTAACACTCCTATGGTGTACATGCAACCGTATAAACCTTGGATCTATGTTTTATCTATTAAACATGCAAATAAGAACTTTCCAAGGCGTTAATCCTAACTAGCATATTATGAAGTTCTTATACTACAAAGTACTAGTTATATGACATACCGTTTGATGTAGCTTGATGTCTTCAAGCTTTAAGAGCTTAGCCCCAATAGTGCGGAAGCCTCAAGTGGAATCACAAATCACCAAAACACCTTGGAAGACTTTAGAGAATATGGATACTTGGTTCTCTCTAGTGAAATCGGCTAGCCCTTCTTAGTGTACCACACTAGAGCCAATTTCACCAACCAATGACATCTTTATATAGTATGGAGACTAGGGTTAAACCCATGACCTTTCATTTCATATGATCCATGGGTTAAACACTCCATGGACTATCCATGAAAGCTTAGCTTAACCTAAATGAACTTGGCCCATTCCATATATATAAGAGTCCATATTTAATTAGTTCATTTTGATCACTTAATTAATTCTAAATTAATTCTTGATCAATACTAATTAAATAACATGATTCCATATTAATATATTAGAACTTATAATATATTAATATTAATCATAAATATACTATTCTCAAAAGACTATCCATATAAATTGTGTCGGTGAAGTGCAACCCAAATGGACCATGCCGGGTCGGGTCAAGTACATACCAAATATAGTTATGGACTTAGACATTAATCCAACATTCTCCCACTTGGATAAGTCTAAAACTATTATTGAGTATGACTTGAAAACCCAACTGGCAATCATAGCTCTTAAAGCTGCTGTCAAACTCTGAGACATGGATTATAGTCATTCTCTCTGTCCATTTTTTGTTTTCCGATTTCCGATTCATGATGACTGACTAATTGAACAAATCAAATCAGTCCTTGCTTGACCAAGCACTCATATGTGTCATCATTAAATCATCGAGGGGCCCACTGATATCGCTTTTATCCTAAAGGTAAAAGGAATGGATAAACTTTGACTCATATGGCTTGTTCTGCTACTTGTTGAATCATACACAAAGGCACGTTTTATAACACCGAGTTACCGAATGTGTTTTCGTGCAATCAATGTACAACCAACTCATAGTAACAACTCATATCTCTAGGTTTGAAGAATATAAGATATTATCGTCTCATGATCACTCCTGATAAAATCCATGAAGTGATTCCAATGAGCGCGGGTTGAATCCAATACTCAGAACTTATGAGCACTCATGAGTGTTGTAGCCCTTTGTCGAACATCTTAGAAGTCTACAAGCCAACCCGTGACAGTCTTGACTCATATCTACTTCCAACATATGACCGACTGTGGATGCTTTGAATAACTTAGTCATTCTGGAAGAATAACCTAGTTTATTCTGGAAGTCAAAACATGCAAATGAAACACAATAATAATTGAATCCAATATGTTATCAAACCTATAAACATAAATAAAACACCTTTTATTTATCACCATATGATTACACATTATTCATTGTATACTGTTTCAGCTATCAACTTTATTCTTGAATTTAAAACAATAGTTGTCCCATGCTCCAAGCATGTACACTATGTTTTCTAAACACTAGTCATGCCATACACCAAGTATGCATACTATGTTTGTCAATGATCTTTACTTGTTGAACTAGATAAATTGAACATAACTCCAATGATCCTCTTTTCATAGTCCCAAA